GCATCAGGTGGCCAAAGTATTGGAGTTTCAGCTTCAACATCAGTCCTTCCAATGAACACCCAGGACTGATCTCCTTTAGGATGAACTGGTTGGATCTCCTTGCAGTCCAAGGGACTCTACAGAATCTTCTCCAACACCACAGTTCAAAAGCATCAACTCTCACATCCATACATGACCACTGGAAAAACCATAGCCTTGACCAGACGTTGACAAAGTAATGTCTCTGCTTTTTAATATGCTATCTAGGTTGGTCATAACTTTCATTCCAAGGAGTAAGTGTCTTTTAATTATGGATTACTATTTCCTAATTTGTACCAAAACCAAGGACCCATGCTCACTGCCGCCGGAAAGTCACCCGAAGAGGGAAGGCTCTCGCCTAAAATGGGGGTGAAAATGAACATGCTTAATATTTGCGACCTCACTGCGAGTCAGAATAGTAACTACGTTTTTTTAGAAACCTGTTAGATCCTTTGTTGTTGTTATTGTTGAGTAGCTAAATCATGGTGGACTCTGGGACCCCATGGACCGTAGTCTGTCAGGCTCCTCTGTCCATGGGATTTCCCAGGCAAGAATACTGGAGTGGGCTGCCATTCCCTTCTCCAGAGGATCTTCGCTGCCCAGAGATTGAACTCCTCCTGGTTTCTGCCCTCTGGTCTGGTTTCTCCCTCTGGTTTCTGCTGTTGCCAGGTGGGTCTGTCCCACTGAGCTTCCCTTGTGGCTCAGCTGGTAAAGAATCCGCCAGCAATGTGGGAGACCTGCGTTCGATCCCTGGGTTGGAAAGATCCCCTGGAGAAAGGAAAGGCTATCCATTCCAGTATTCTGGCCTGGAGAATTCCATGGGCTGTATAGTCCATGGGGTCCCAAAGAGTCGGACACGACTGAGTGACTTCCACTTTTCACTTTCAGGAGGAAGAGAAGTAAAACCTGAGCTTGAGTTCTAGGACTTTGAGGAAATACTGGTGTCTCCCATATGTTTGCTGTAATGTAGTGAAGACAATCATTAGGCAATAGCAGGGATCGAATTACAGTGAATAAAAATAATCGTAAATAGGTTCCTAATTATAATATTATAATTAGCGTCTGGAGCCGAGACCCCAGGCCCCACATATGATTTGCATAATTGCATGTCTGTGGGAGGGATTAGACCTTCCTCTGTTACTTGATGTTGATTCTTACTGAACATGGAACAATAAAAAATGAGTTAAGTCTTCCTTATCATTTTTATTATTCTTATTTAGACTAAAAGACAGCCACTTTTATCCCAGAGTAATTGTAGATCCAAGAAAAGTCAATTACAGAAACTAAAACTGAAGGCTAAGGCAGAGAGGCTGATGGAAAAAACATGTAAGCAGTCAGATCTGGTTTTAGATCTTAGCTCCTGAACACACTGAATAAAATAATGATAGAATTTGGGAGAAGCTTCTTTCTTTAAGCCAGGAGCTGAGCATTAGGACAGTGTTTTGTGGTGGGTTTTGGAAAACTCTATGAAAGCTCAGTTTGCATACCCTAAGGAAATGAAGTTTGTAATTTTAAAATGATTTTTAATCCTTACCTGCTTTTTCACTTCAAACTAAAATATTTTAGTGCATTTCACTTTTTTTTTCCTTATCTAAGTTTTCCATGAAGCATATTCCATGGAACATTAGTACTTCGCAAAAAGTTAGTAATTACTTCATGGAAAAAAAAACTCTAGCATCAATACTGAGTAAAACACAAATTATTGGAAGTACAGTGGTGTAGCATTCTTGTCAGAACATTTACAATCTGTTCTGATGTTCTAACATTTAGAAACATAGCTTGAATCTGTGAAGAAACAGTTTAATTCAGAATGTGATTTGTTTGGACTTTTCAATAATGTCAGTATCATGAAAGACAAGCAAGGCAGAAGTACTTGTCTGCATTAGTGGGCAACTGTGATTTGGATAGGAGTATGGATTTTTTTTAGTCACTAGCCTGCCAAGCTCCTCTGTCCATGGAATTCTCCAGGCAAGAATACTGGAGTGAGTAGCCATTACTTTCCCAGGGGACTTTCCGGTCCCAGGGATCAAACTCCTGTCTCCCGAATTGCAGGCAGATTGTTTACCATCTGAGCCACCAGGGAAGCCCAGAGAGAAAATACGGCATTATGTTAATTATTGTGGTTCTTTCAAATTTTCTATAGGTTTGAAATTTTTTTTAACACTTAAAAAGTGGGGGAAAAATGTAGCTAGCACTTACCTTTTAAAAATGCATTGGTTCTGCTTATTTATAAGAAAATGCAAAATTCATTTATATGCTGTGCTGTGCTTAGTTGCTCGGTCATGTCTGACTTTTTGGGACCCCATGGACTTAGCTTGCAGGCTCCTCTGTCTATGGGGATTCTCCAGCCAAGATTACTGGAGTGGGTTGCCATGCCCTCCCTCCCCCTGGGAATCTTCCGATCCCCAGGATTGAACCCACATCTCCTGCATTGCAGGAGGACCTTCTGAGCTACCAGGGAAGCCCAAGAATACTGGAATGGGTAGCCTATCCCTTCTCCAGGGGATCTTCTCAACCCAGGAATTGAACTGGGGTCTCCAGCATTGCAGGTGGATTCTTCACCAGCTGAGCTACCAGGGAAGCCCCCATTTATATACTAGTTCTCTTATAATCTGACCTTGAGATAGGTGTACCATATTTAAGAACTATATATAGGAAGTCATCTGAGAAATGATCTCATTCTTCAAGGCATGATATTGCATCTGTACCCTGAGGTCCATTAATTGCCAACCAAAGCAATGTCCGTGTGTATTATCTGCCTCACTTTATGCTGTGCATTCTACATAGAATTTTAGCATAAATGAACTCTTGTAATCTGTCAATGGTTTTAAAAATGTTCCTCTATGCCTACAAATATTTACTGAGTGGCTACTATGTCCCCGGCACTATATTAGGTTCTGAAGATACAACTGTCATCAATTTAGATAAAGCCCCTGCTCACATAGAGTTTATATTTAGGGAGCAAGAAAGAAACACAGAATAAACATTCCAATACAAAAGAAAATGATTGTAATTGCTATGTGTTATAGAATAATTAATTAGGAAGTAGAGAGTGCCAGGTAAGTGTGGATATATATAGGGTGAAAAAGAAGACCTCGCTGAGAAGGTGAGGGGTGAGTTGTGGATCTCTAAGGAAAGCACATACTAAAAATAGGGAATGGCTTGCTCGGCATAGTTAAAGAATAGTAAGGAGACTAGAGTGAATGGATAATAGAAGCAAGAGGGAGAGTAGTAGGAGATGACAGCAGAGAGGTAACCAAGGCCAGATTTCGTAATATAATTTCGGATGAGCTTTAGCTTCCTTTCTTAAGAGAGTTAGATGGAGGTAGTGCTGTAACGCAAGAGCATAGCATGTTAGCTGTTGTTACTGGATTCATTTTCTATTGCTGTTGTAAGATAGTTACCATAAACTTGGTGCTTTAAAAGAACACAAATATATTATCTTAACATTCTGCAGGTCTAAAGTCCAATACAGGTCTCTCTGGGCGTGAGATCAAGGCATCAGCTGACTGCTTCCTTTCTGGAGGCTCTAGGGAGAAGCTGCTGCTTTGACCTTCCCTGATTCTAGAGGCCTCTAACATCCCCTGGCTTTGGCCTCTTTCTTCCATCTTCAAAGCTAGTAACATTGGTCAAAGATTTCACTGGTCAAAGAACTTTAAAGATTTGGGTGATCAAATTAGGCCCACCCAGATCATCTCTCAATTTCAGGGTTCTTAACTTTGATCATATCTGCAAAGTCACTTTTCCTCATAAGGTAATTTATTCGCAGATTCTGGTGATTGTAGTACGGACATCTCTGGGAGAGTCTGTTCTGCTTGTCCCAGTCCACCCTCTGGCTCCCAAAGATTCATGTCCATTCATATGCAAGATCGGTTCTCCCCCTCTTAAAGTCCCCCAGATTTTCAACCCATTACAGCATCTCATCTAAATCTCAAAAATCCCAAACATCATCTACATCTAAGGTATAAGTGAGTATAATCCACACTGGGGCAAAAATCCCTTTCCATTGTAGACCTGTGAAACTAGAGAACAAGCCCTCTGCTCTCAGAATACCATAGAGGAGGTCCAGGA